CTCTCTCTCTTTCTGTCTCACAGAAACCAAGCAAGAATTGGAAGATCTGACGGCCGACATCAAAAAGACGGCCAACAAAGTTAGATCCAAATTAAAAGGTACTGTTGACTCCGGTGTCCATAGAATTGCTTTTCAAAAGACATTGAAAAGTACAAAGAAGACCTGGGGGCTGTGTGACTGAGACACATTAGCAAGTGGAAACATAATACAACAGGGTCTCAACATTTGTGAGGGTTCAGTACACAGAACGGTGACAAATGGCCAAATTCCCCAGGAGCATAATGTACTACTAACGTTATATTTGTATTAATGTGAATTAAAATAACATTGATCAACTAAAAGAACAGTTATCACAAACTTAAAGCCATCAACTAAAACAACATGAATCCCTCCTCTGTACCCAGCAGATGCCTGCACTGATGAAACAGTCATAAACCTGTCAGAGAGACAGTAAATTCCTCTCCAGCCTGTCATTCCCCGCACTGCTGACACGGAACCTGGAGTGTTAGTTACAGTACAGAACCTGGACCAGGCTGAGATGCTGCTGCTGGGTATTGGGTACTTGGGCAGGGGGCAGGGAGAGCCTCACTGACTAGCTGGATTTGTCTCACAATCATCGTATGTTGCGCTGCTAATCTGAAAGTTGCAGTTAACAACAATTTGTTGGGTTTTGTTTTCCCTTTCAGACTGGTTTTTACATTTTTGTAACCTTTCCCACTTTTCTCCTTGACAGCGATCGAGCAAAGCATAGAGCAGGAGGAAGGGCTCAACAGATCATCTGCTGACTTGCGAATTCGTAAAACACAGGTAAGAGCTCTCCACTTCCTGCTGATGGGCTCAACTTCCTGTTGATATGATTCTCCACTTCCTGCTGATGCTTTCAACTTCCTGTTGATAGAATTCTCCACTTCCTGTTGACAAGGCTTTTCATTTCCTGTGGTAAAGGCAGCGAGATTTGGATGGGGGTAAAAGCCAGATAGTAACCCTTTAAAAAAGGTTAAAAATACAGTATTTCACCCCTTTCTTGTGTCCAGGCGAAATTTATCAATATATTCTGGGTTGCTTTTTACGTAATCAAGTGTTCTTATCAGCAGTGAACCTGCCAGAGCAGTGAACTAGTCACTCAGCACTCTAGTTTGTTCCTGTGCAGAGTGGAAACCAAAGCACACATCATCCTGGGAGGTTAACCCTAACCAGGTTCTCTCTCAGTTCTCTGTGAGAGAGAGCAATACAACATCAGTGATAATAGTAATTTTAATACCTCAAATGTTACATGCCAGATTGGTAATAAGATCATACATTTTAGTCTGGGTCTTTAAATAATAAGATAAGATCACTGTATTGGTCATATATAATCTCTTGCATTAGGAATTTGTCTTTTCGCAAACCCCAGCTTGCTCTCCATGAGGCACACAGACAGGGAGAGAAGCTTGGGGTCAGAGCACAGGGTCAGCCATTTATACAGCACCCCTGGAGCAGCTGGGGTGAAGGGCCTCGCTCAGGGGCCCAACGGATTAGAAGTCCTCTGCCAGCTGCGAGATTTGAACTGGCTACCTTCCAGCCACAGGCGCAGATCCTGAGCCACAGAGCCACCACACCACCTGAGCTTAGTAATTAACATAACAGGAACTCAGCACACAGATTGCCCGTCTCTTCAAATAATGCAGAACCGCAGAGAAATTACACCTTGCTTGTGTAAAACAGCTCAGAGAAGCACAAAGTTAAAGGATTCTCAAGACCAGTAAAAAGAGTAGGTAAGAATAAAGACACTAACACTAGTGCAACAGTGTGAAGTACATGGTGGGGATATATAATACCATGTATTCAGTTTTTTCAAGAGCTGCTCAGCCAATCCAAGGTCCCAAACTGGACAGGGCCCTACACATACGTTCATACAGGCATGAGGTTTGGCTAATCCAGACAGCACGTCTGTGGGCGGTGGTGGGGGAAGCAGAGTGACAGAACTAGGGCCTTAGTGCCCCTCGTGGTGTCAACACTCTCACCTGAAACCTCCACAACCTGAGCTCTGCCTTCCTTGTCCTCTCCAGCACTCCACGCTGTCACGCAAGTTCGTGGAGGTCATGACCGAGTACAACACCACGCAGTCCAAGTACCGTGACCGCTGCAAGGACCGTATCCAGAGGCAGCTGGAGATCAGTGAG